AGAGAGAAAGAGAGAGAGAGAGAGAGTGAGAGAGAGAAAGGAAGAGGGAAAGAGAGAGAGAGAGAGAGAGAGAGAGAGAGAGAGAGAGAAAGAAAGCGAGAGAGAGAGACGGAGGTTGGCAGAAATCGCGCATGCGTACCCGTTGTCGCTATTCTTCAGATATTATTATCGAGCGGATTTTTTTACGTCAGCATGACGTCACCGATGCCGAGGCTATGCTTATTGTTTCTAGCAGACGTGTGAAGGCGAGAGTGGGAAGGGGAGAGAAGGGGAGAGATCCCGTGCTTCGCTGGAGCGTGCGCGTAAGCGAGCGTGGCTGGCGCCTATTTCCGTCACTGGACGCCCGTGCTCCATATTAAGCGAAGTAGTGGAATTCAATATCTTTCCCCCCTCTCGTCCTCGTTCTCTTCCCCCGTCCCATGCCTCTCCGTGCGCTCGGTTATTTATACATACATCGCCTGCGAAACAACAAACTTAGAAGCACTGCCGCCGCATGCTACCAGGCGAACAAAAGCTCGCACTTTTTAACAGAAGATTATTTCTGGTCGGCCGCTCGAATTCCCATTGCTAAGATGGGCTATAGCTCTTAATGCTGGTGTCAAAAACAGTAGAGCATAACGACAGTTCAAGATTGTACTGTGCACTACAGTCCCAAACTGTGCTGCGTGCTACAGTCCCAAACTGTACTGCGTGCTACAGTCCCAAACTTTACTGTGCACTACAGTCCCAAACTGTACTGCGTGCTACAGTCCCAAACTTTACTGTGCACTACAGTCCCAAACTTTACTGTGCACTACAGTCCCAAACTGTGCTGCGTACTACAGTCCCAAACTGTACCGCGTTCTACAGTGCCAAACTTTACTGCGTGCTACAGTCCCAAACTTTACGGGGCCAACGTGCAAAACTGTACTGCACGCTGTCGCCAATGTGTACGCGAGTTTATATGCTCTACGGAGTCCGGCTAGATCCTATGGGTAGGGGACTTGATTTGGACATGTGTAACGGATATAGGTGGCGCTGCGGTAAGCACGCGCGTAATAGAAAATAGGAGAATGGAGATTGTAGTCCCCTAAGTGATCGGAGAGAAAAGTAAAGAATAAAACATGGACTATTACATAAAAGAGTTAGTTGTGTTAAATTGATATACATCTCCGACGAAACAGTATTGCATTCCACTATATTGTAGTAGAGCGAACGAAGAGAGAAACGACTTTTCTCAACCCAGTACAGACTACAGTGAAGTTGCTGATAGCTGTGTGCGGTAAATCAAGTTTAACAACATCGTGACAGCGAAGTGACACTGACAGTAGACATATGGTACACAAAGCAGAGGTAGAAATTAACGTTTGAACAAGGGCGTGCAACGGACTCCCTACCCTCTAAAAGAGGGAGTCCGCAGCAAAATGAGGGAGTCCGCAGCCTGAGGTTCAAAATTAAAGATATTAACAATAACGCATGTGCTTATTTTTAAGATTCATGCAGTTGCACGTCTGCCAAATTTTATTGGGAAATAGCTGAAAAAAATACGGTAATTCCGCGAGGCCGTGCTTCGGAACGAACTAGTCAGTATCGCAGAATTTTCAGGGAGTCACACGTACTCCTGCATATGTCAAATCAGGGAGTCCGACAGTAAATCGGGGAGTATTTGACTCCGGACTCCCGTTAATTTCGCACCCTGCAAAGTGAGTTGGTACTGGTAGTAGTAGTAGTAGTACCGAGTATAGACTATAATTATATTTGAATCATGTAGAGACTTGTATGACAGTAGAATTGCTTCAATTTACTGAATCACTCTGGATAGCGAACATACATGATACACGCACAGTGCCACACTGTACTGCGTGCTCCAGTGCCAAACTTTACTGGGCCAAAGTGCCACACTGCCTACTGTCGGTGGCCGTGGTGGTCGTGGTGGTGGTGCCTTAATTTGTTTTATTTTACGATTGTGCACATGATAACAGTAAAACGGAACTCGTGTTCTGGACAGGAGTACTGCTATATCACTCGATGATCAGCCGAGAGTGACTCGACTCGCGGTTGATTCCGGCCGACCAGGTCAAGATAGCAATATTCGATTCACAACACCCGGGCTGTTGTATTGCCTACTACCATCCAAAACTTCTTGTAGTACGGTCGGTACTGCGTGTTACACTCACAAACAGCACTAACGCCCCACACAGCAGCGGCAGCTGTAACATCAGCGACACCAAAATATACATTTTTATTACATAGGGCATCCTTATAAGTTCTCCGTATATTGAATTCCCTTCTATCGTATTGTCAGATAAGGATGACGATCGCTTAGATGGACAAACCGCAGTGAGTGCAAGGTAGAGATCCGATCTTCATAAGATTTGCTATTAACGTCGTGTGTGGTTCGCAATAAAGATAATTACTGCAGGAGTATTATGCACGTCATCCGATGTCTGCAATCGGTGATATCATCCCACAGGAATGAATGCGTGCGCGCGTGTTTATGCGTGCATGCGAGTGTCCGTAACGTGCGCGCGTGCACACACGTATGCGTGTACGCTTTTACGGACGTGGCCACGCACGCACTCGTACACATACGCGTAAATACACGCAGACGCACGCGCGCACACACACATGTGGAATTAACGCATGTATACATGTGCGCGCACATGTATACATACATGCGTTTCCTATTATTCGCTGAACCAATCTCTCTATTTATATAAGTGGAAGTATCTAACTACCCTCCCATCTGTGTCGTGGTTATCCTCGAAGCTTCATTTTCGCGCTTTCTTCACGTTTTGCCTTGTGGTTTTTCATGCGCAGCTCTCGCTCTTCTTACCCCTTTGTCCACAGCTTCCCGAAAATAAACAATTGCACTCGCCGTTTTCAAGTGAGTAGAACCAGCAAACTCGGATCAGCGCTTGCACCCCGATCGGATGTAATCCGAACCCCGTCCGACTGTAGCGCGAAAGCGGATCCGCGACAGCTAACCCTCGCAATGAGCCGACGCCGGCGGCTGCCAGCCCCTCGCGAGCTTCATTGAACCGGATCCGGGTTTGCGTACGTGCAGCCGCTCGCCGGCGCTGCTGGCGCCACCTTCATATAAGCGTGAGCGTGTGCCGACGCGGCTCGCATATACCTCTGTGCTCAGCATCACCGCGGCATCAGTTAGCAAGATGGCCGTGTCGTGTGTGCAGCTGCTCGGCCTCATTGCGCTAGCCACCTTCGCTCTCGCGATCTCTCCCATCGATCACTCGCACGACCGACACAGACACGAAGATCCCGACGATGACGTCATCATCGAAGCGACGAAAGAGAAGTTCGAGAATGTCATCGAAGAGTTGGACTTTGTTGCAGTCGTCTTCTGTATGTATATAGCGCGTAACGCTCTCTTTCGTACGTGTAGCTAGCTAGCTCTCTGTAGTGTTTACCTGTATGTGCGTGTGTGTAGCGTGTGTACGTGCGTACCCGGCAGCTCTTCGCTGCTGCGTATGTAGTGTGTCTTCGCGGCATTTCTACAGTGTAATATTGAGAGCCTCGCTCTGTCTCGCCCCACTCTATCTCTCGCTCGAGGGGGGGAGAGAACGCTCGGTCCAGCCCCCTAAATATGCCTTAATGCAGTAACCATCACAAATTCAAGCATGCACTGTTATTATCACCACTCAAGTATTTTTGATCTGCTGATCTGTACATGTGCATGCGGTAGCACAGCCTCTCCTAGCCGCCCGTATATGAAAACTTCACGTGAGCGATATTGTCAGCGTTCGCGCTCTCGCTCCGCGTGTGGGTAGCTGGCTAGATAACTGTCAGCATTGCCGCGTGCAGAGAAGTAGCTGCGGTACAGCGCGCCTGTCAATTCCCGCATCAGCAGCAGCATCCCAACTATCGACCCCGCAGCTTCCGCGCGCCACATGAGGGTAGCAGGATGATGGGGGAGGAAGATGAGGAGTCGTCAGCTTCAGTAACAAACGAGGGATGAGGATGAGGAGGAGGCTGCTTCCCGAACAGATGAGGGTAGCGGAATGATGAAGGAGGGAGGGGGAAGATGAGGAGTCGTCAGGTTCAGTAATAGATTAGGGATGCTAGGGTGCGTAGTGACGGAGAACATGAGGAACACGCAGCTTCCAAAGGAAATGAGAGTGGCGGGCAGTTGCGGTAGGAGGCTGAGGAGTCGTCGGGTTCAGTAATAGATTTGGGATGCTAGAGTGCGTAGTGACGGAGAAGATGAGGAACACGCAGCTTCCCAAATAGATGAGGGTATGAGGCTGGGCGTACGGGCGAGGGGGCACGCGTGGTGCTGGCGTAATGAGAAAGATGAAGAATTGCCAGCTTCCCTGCCCGTAGTGTGCACGGGCCGAAGGGGCCGTGTGGGGATGCTGATACAAGGATGAGGAGCACCCAGCTGCCCTACGTCGCGATCACCGCCGTACTGCATCCGTCCTGGATCCGATCAGCTCATCCTCACAGCTAGCATGTGTCACTCGCCTTGCCTCGAATTCCCTAATCTCCGACATGGGCCATATAAGCAGTTAGTACCAGCCGTGACTTATCGACCAGCCTAGTTTGTGTCCATCCGTGGGTATCGCAGCCAGCTAACGGACCACGAAAGTTACTACATCCCTACCAGCACCCGTATGTGCATCGTCGCCATCCGACGCTGACGACTATCGCTGCTAAGATGTGTCACGTGTAACACATGCGTAGGATTAGTATAGTACCTCCGTAAGCTTTGTAACTCCGTATGAATTTGCGTAGCACTTGCGCAAGATTTGATTAGGACATGCGTAAGAATCTTGTTAGGACCCGCGTAAGAGTTTGACAAGGCTCTCTGACATAGCTGCTCAGTTGTGTTCAGGTTGAATCTAAGAACTTTGCAATAGTGCACACATCGGCAAGCTTACCCGGCTTACAATATTATAGGGCACGAGAAATATATGCGAAAGTGAGGGAGCGAAACGAATTTACGAGTATATAAGATGCGTGTGAAATATGTGTGACGGGTCGCTTGTGGACTTGTCGCTTGAACGGAATGAATAATAATAGATTCTATAGATCTATTTAGATAGATCTATTATTATTCTCTCCTGATCTTTGCAAGATCCGTGTATGATCGCGTGTAACAACTATAAAGCAATGACCCCGCCGTACCTCGACTGTCAAGGACATGAGGCTTCCGGTACACTTCCGGTATCTAGTAATACGACGCTGAGAGTTTCTGATTGCGAAACAGATGCTGTGGGGATGGAAATGATTTGCAGACCATTCCTATGCAGCTTAAAGCTCCGTGGCTCCGTGGCAGCCAAAGCTACACGCACGCACGCACGCACGCGCGCACGCACACACGCACGGATGTACAATACTCACGCAACCACGCATGCACGATTGAAAGCACGCGCTTGCTGACAAGCGCACGCACGCGCGTGCGCACGCTCGCTCCTTGCACCGTGAAAGAGAAACGCAGAGAGAGAGAGAGAGAGAGAGAGAGAGAGAGAGAGAGAGAGAAAGAGAGAGAGAGAGGGGGGGAGAGAGAAACTGGCCAGCTCGATAAAATCGAAATTGAGCAGAACTCGCCTAGAAGGACATTTTTGACGTGTATCTAGGATCTGTGCGTTTCCCACGGTGCAAAAATCTCTGCACTGTCTGACTCTCGCTGTATCTGAGTAAGTTACAACATTTACCCACAACATTATAGCGGTACAGCAGCAGAGAACGATGTAGCTAATGCCTAGTATAGTAGTATAGGATTCGTTTGTAAACGAATTATTTATGTTGTTATTTACGCCTATTTGTGTTGAGACACATACCGCTGATGTGTGTAGATTTCAGTTAGATAGATTTCTGAGGAAGAATAGTCGAGCGGCGTGCGCGGCCCGTACGTAATGACGTCATAGTTAAATATCTGCTGCAGCGGAATTAGATGGATGAACAAGGCAGACGCTCTGCATGCATGCACAGCCGTGTTTCACTGCGCGCGTGCTTGTGCGTGCGTGCGTGCGTGTGTGTGCGTGCGTGCGCGCGTGCGTGCGTGTGCGTGCATTCCCGTGTCCGTGCGTTACTTAGCTGCGGGTCGTTCGGCCGTGCAACCGTCACGCACACACGGTGGCCATTGAGTCCCCGACAATCTCACGCGCCGACAATCTCACGCGCCGACAATTTTGCCGCAGCAAACCGACCTCGCGGTATCGATCTATCGTCAGCTTGTACGCAGCAATATTGTGCCCGAACCACTGCCAACACCTATCACGTATCCCCCACTACACATGGTAATACAGGAGAGACACGGGGTACCCGTAAGCTGAACCTTCCCTAGCTCTAGAACGATAGGCCTTCAGACATGTGGCAGAGCGAAGGGCTATAGTTCTAGAACTGAGCTTTTCGCCTGATCACTAGCATAATTCTGCAGGGATTGTACATATAAATGCTGAATCCTGTCATACAGTTTACTTCATCATGCAATCCTCAAATCTAATCCGATGTGGAATTCCTCGCAAGTAAAAAGATATGATGAAAAGCTTTCCGTGCTGCATTCCATAAATAAATAAAACATGTGAGCTTGTCATTAAAAGTGGAATGAGTTGACCTGAATCTAGCAGCACATCATATGCAACGCGATCTAACATGGCGGACTGTGCGAATATTTGCGCGGGAAGATTATTTCCGAGCATGATTTACATATCGCCGGCTTAAATATTTTATCAATAATATATTATGTCCAACGATAGAACGATTCTATCATCCGCAGACCCTGTTGGTGTGAATTCTAAAGCTATATATATATATTATATATAGGAATTTAGGAGGATCAAAATGCCACCGTGCGCCGTGTACGAATTGATTGGCAGCACTGTCGGTGTGAGCCGATCAAACAAATCAGCATCCAACGTGATTTCCTTTATCATATAGCATGAAGCCCTAGGTTTTGTAGTACTCGACTGTCATATTATTCATATATAATAGTGCGCAAGTGTTTTCTTGAAATTGTGTTACCGATAGTTGAGGAGTTGGTGCGAATGCCACGGTAGCTTTAAAGGGATGACAGGTACTATAGACACATATGTAATGCAGTTCGGTAGCAGGCATGTCAAACTGACACAGCAGCCTTTACAATGGCCAGCAGAGCGTGAGACTGACCATTACTGCAGGATAAACCAATAACGCATTTACTTGAGCGCGGTCACACAGAATGAGTAGAACTGATGCTAAGACATGTAACCGAGAGCGCATTAACCCCTTAATGCGCTCTTGATGTAACCATTCCTCTGGGGGAAATCCGTAGGCGGGGGAATGAGAATGGGAATAAGAACGGAAACTGAAACGAAAACGGGAATACGAAGACGGATATGAATTCGGCTGCTAGGATACAGGTTATGGCAATAATTCATGCAGCTGTAAATTATAGATATCTAATCTTCCAATACATGATCGTTACATGTGTAGGTGAAATTTGGTGGAGACAACAGCAGCAGCGCCACCGCTGCCATCGTATATCAGTGTAGCGGTCTGTCAGTGCAACTGCAAGCCTACAGTCCTCATAGCATATACTCATAGCAGCTTTACTGATCATGTCAGGTTCGTGCAACTGATATGTCCATAGCAGGAGTAGATAATAGGGACCTATTATCTACTCCTGGTCCATAGTTAACACGAAAGTGGGGGGGGGGGGATAAAATAAATGGATATTTAATTAATTCATATTTAATTGGAGTATTAATTACCACTCGGGTGGCATCATTACCTACCGGTAGCACCGGATATCCGCAACATCAGTTAGCCGACGATGTTCTTGATGTGTGTGCGCGTGAGTGTGTGCGTGCGTAAGTGTGTACGTGCGTGCGTGCGTGAGTGAGTGTATGAATGAGTGCGTGCGTGAGTGTGTGAGTGTGTACGTGCGTGAGTGTGTACGTGCGTGCGTGAGTGTGTGCGTGCGTGTGTGCGTGCGTGAGTGAGTGTGTGCGTGCGTGTGTGCGTGCGTGAGTGAGTGTGTGCGTGCGTGCGTGAGTGAGTGTGTGCGTGAAAAGAGGCAGAGAAGAGAGAGAGATGAGGCAGATGAGAAAAAGAGAGAGGAGCAGAGAGAGAGAGAAAGGCGAGGGGCGTGAGTGAGTGAGTGGGTGAGTAAGCCAGCGAGCTAGCATGTGAGTGAGATGGTGGAGTGAAAGCAAGCGAGAAAAGGACAAATACAGTGTTTAAGCTTACTCATAAGACTGACGAACTCTCTCGTCTCATAACGCCCCCCCTCGTCTCTCTCTCTCTCGTCTTCTCTCTCTTACCTCTCTCTCATCTCTGCTTCTCTCTCTCTCTCTCTCTCCTCTTATCTCCTCTCTTTCTCGTTTCTCTCTCTCTCTCTCTCTCTCTCATCTCTCTCTCTC